GCACAGACAGGTTCAGGGAGAATTCAGTTATAGGGTTGATCCCAACAGCCAAGCTTTTCTATATTGGCCCTGCCCACATCACCTCCACACAGACATCCACGTGGTGCTGAGTCATCAGCCCCCACCCACTAATACTGTATGACTATAAGAGAGAATGGGCCAGTAAATTTAGACAGCCTGTCTCAACTCCTACAGAGCTATTTATAGCTACAAAAAGCACACAACAATGAGGGGCAGAGTAGGTGGCAGGGTTGAATGCTGAGAGAGACTATGGAGTTACTCATCATGTCATCACCACCACACGTATTTGGCGCATGGGACAACTACTGAAATGAAGAACAATAGATTTTAGTACAAACGGAGGGCTTTGGAAACTGGACATACATTTGCAGTCAAACGTTACAATTTAGTAATTCCAAGATCACTCAAAACTAGAATTTGTGGTTGTGACAAAGAGTATTAGCCTATTACTTCCACTAATTCAAAGGATTTACCATGTGACAGAAAAACAAGTCCAAGTCCATTACCTTCACGTCCTGGAAAACTGTCTTATCTTTACGGATGACCTCATGCTGCACCAGTAGTTGTAAATAAAAAGTTCCACCCAGTAAACCTATCACAGACTTTCAATCAGTGACCCCTGCCCTCCTCTCCCATCATATAAACCTGCCCCTGGATTTAAACTTTAGTGACTCCTCCTTTTAGTTTTTCCCGCCCAGCATTCTGGTTCAACAGGAACTTCATCGAATACGGGAAGCAAGACATTCTCCTTAACATGAGCAAATACAAAAAATGTTTTCACCATCACCACTTTCTGAAGGAAGAAATTTAGGACAGAGAGATGCATATTCTAAAAGTCACACGTTATCTGACAGAAATGAAGTTCATTTCTCGCTAACACCTGGGGTTGCAGGAAAGCCAAATTAGCCTGTGCATCTTTAAAGTTTAAATGGTGGCATCGTTGTCTGCTCTAAGGATTCCAGCTTGAGTTAGCTCACTTTTACTGCTGTCGAGTCTATGTGGGTTATATAATGTGTCTGTGAAACAGCAAACTGTATGAAACTACTTTCATTGCTTGATACTTTCCCTGTGAATTAGACCAGTATCCGGGCAGGGGACCCAGACAGTTCCTGTTGTGATGGCCATTTCTGCCGACCCGGCAGTGCCAGGGCAAACATCAGAGTGAGTAATGAGAGGAACAAACAGAGGGAGGGTGGGATGAAAAAACAATCCCTAAAAAGAAAGGAGAGAAATAGTCCTTTCATCAAGAGACATGCCACAGACTAACTCTGCCTTTCTTCATCTGTCCTTATTTACGTCTCCTTCTCTCTCATCAGCTGTTATTCGGTTCCTTGCCTTTCACAGTCCCCTCCTCTTTCCTATGCTCCGTTTTCATGTTGAAAGTTGCTCAACTGCCTACGTTGGTGTTGTCATGTGGGCCGCTCAGCCTGGGAAGACCGGCTCCTTTGACATTTATTGCATACAGTATCACTGTCTTATCGGGAATTAAATCTCACACACCCTCTTTGCTTTTCCTATTGATTACTTATAATGATCTCAGTTTGATTCTGAACTTTTGTGACTGCATATTAAAGTAGTTTATGAAATGCAAAACAGGCCCTTCATCTTGAATTCCTCATTGACCTCCCGGATGTGAATTTGAAAGTTTTCGAGTGTGTACAAGGAGAAGTTGTCCTTTTTTTTCTATTTTAATAGGTCCTCTTCTTACAATTTGCCGAGACTGCTGAAATTGAAGCTATTGATTCATACGAGCAGGCCGTTACCGAATCACTTTGTGCATCTCTGGTTGCCTGGATACCAAGGGGAAGGTTTTGTGAATGTGTTCGCATGAGTAAGAGACCATGTCACGGAGTTCATGCTCAAGAGGAGAAGTGAAGCAAGGTGTCTTTAACTTTCAGGTGCCTGAAGGAAATTAACAACTTTCCACGCTTACAATGCCTTTTCTCACTCCTCTCTCGCTTTTGGTACTTCAAGTGAGTATTGGGTCACTGACGCTCCTGGGATCATTTATCTAGAGCAACCCCAATCTTCCTATTTTCTGTTCTGCCTACTTTCTGTATGACACGCGAGTGCTGCTTTCTTGGTCGCGGTCCCTCGCTGTGTGACTTGGTTGTTCCAGCTTAGCGGAAGTCTTTGGCATAAATCACTGATCTGAGATTGCTCGTATTACCCAGCAATCTGACTGGAGCTGGGAAGTGAAAGCCAATGGAGAAAAGAAGGGCTCATTATGGTCTCTACTGGAAGGAGATGGGAATGTGTGTATTATATTTGGCTAAAGTAAATCAGCAACAAGGCAACAGTTAGCAGCAATGATGTGTTATCCCTCTGGGCAATACAAATATGTCACCTTAATATGACCTAAAATTAGAGTGCCTCCCTTGGGTCAATCAGTGTAGAGACAATTAATGGAATGAAATGTCGTTGAATTCTGATCCAGCATGAAGTAAAAATGGTTTGACAAATATAGCATGTCTTGTTTTTTAGTGGGGGCATCATAGACCTTTGAAATAATACATATAGTTGACAAGAACTGTGAAACCTCAGTACATCGCAGTAATGAAAAGAAAAATCCCCAAAAAAGTAACAATGATTAGAAGTAGTCTTGCAAACTGCTTCCAAAAATGAAATCCCACACATTTCCTGCAAAGTAAGAGGTGAGGCGTGGTGTTAAGTTCCCCCTTGTTTTATTTCTGCATGCCACTGTCTAATCACATCTGTATATAATAGAGATAGAGTTGTTTGAATCTCAAACACAATCTGCACCAATATTGCACTTCGATGTGCCATCCTTACAATCACCAACATCATTCCTAGGCAAAGGTAATACCAGCGTGATACGAAAAATCAACTGAAATGTCATCTTATGCGTCTGTGTGTTGATTGTTTGTGTAAAAAGATTTGCAGCATACAGGGAACACCTGGTGATCCACATCACACTACTCCAAATACAATATCTCTCTTTCCCCTTTTATTCTGTCTAAAGCTGAACATGTTTTCAAAACAACAATGATACTTCAAGTTTCTTCTGATTTTCATTCAATGATGGAAAACAGTGCTGCCTGAATTATTAGTACATGTCATGCAATAGTAAATGGCATGAAGGACTGCTGCCCTCTGCTGGATGAAAGAGACATTTCACTAAACTGTGAGCCGATGTCTCAAACAATGGACACAAACAGGTACAGCATGTACTTAATTCAGCGTCATCCCAGAAGTCATCACTGACAGGCGTGAAACGCAACACAAACACCTGTACAAAGAAAGACACAGCATAGCGTCAACACTCCCGTGAGTACTGCTTTTGTGAGGCTCATAATTATAGCTGCTGAGATTGTGTCTGTAGAGGCCTACTGTGAGCGTGCAGCGTTTTTGTACTCATTTGAATTATATTTCAATAAAATATAGATGTAGGGATTGAGTAGGAAGACTGACTGATAACATGCAATCTTGTATATACAAAATACTGCCTTAAATCTGACCAATTCTCATCAAAGGAACACTGCACTTTAAAAAGGAAATGTATACAGGGGGCTACTGTCCTGCAATGGGCATCATTGTAAAGGTGTTCATGTTATTGTGTCCACTCAGTTTATGTTTTGTAACGTATAATACAGAAACAGCTTCATGTGTAAGAACAGGAAGCACAGCACCGTGAAAGCACGTGAAGTAAACTTTTTAAAGGAGTTTATTTCTATATGTATCTATATACACAAACATTTACAATGCACTATATGCAAGAGATACAGTCCATTATAACACTAAAAAACAGGTAGAAAAGCCAAACAGTACTCGATGAACAAATGTGGGCTTTAGAAATAATGTAGTTTGATGGTGGAAAGATCTCATGTAGTACAGCTGACAGCCGAATGGAGTAGATAAAGTCTTTAGGTAGGTTATTTAACAGAATCTATGCATGTCGGATTATGCTAAACTCCAGACATGATGACTCCTAACACTGGCAGTTTAAAGGTAGTATGACGATGTGTTTTTCATTAAACCCAGTGATTTTATCCAGCAGTGTATATGTAGCAAGAAAAGAGCAGTAATAGAAATGGCACAAAAGTATTTTCTGATGTTACTGGACTGTTACCAAACTGTTCCAAAATACTCAAGGTTTAAAGTATATGCAAGTAGATAAAAGGCCAATGTTATCAAGGTCTCTTCCAGCAACATGACAGCAGTAAAGTACTTTGATAATATAAAGACCAAAAAAGGGGTACAGTTTAATTTCAGGCACATCATCAATTTGCAAAGTGCACTGCATTCAACTGGAAGAAATCAATTGGCACTTAAGAACTGTATGACTTTTTTTTTTTTTTTTTTTAACCTTTAGATTCAGATACAAAGCATCTTTGAAAGTGTTCATCCTTAGAAATACTCCAGAGTCATGCCGAGGGTCATTCCATAGCTTTGTAGATTCAATATAACTAACATTGTGTTAAACTCCACAACCAATATAATGTACACGCACTGGGACGATTAAAATGACCTCTTACTCAGAACATCATGTAACAGCATTTATATACAAACCCTATAATTCACTTCATATCTGCAGTGTGTACTTCACAATATATATTCAGAATACCAATTATCTGAAACGGTGACCAATATTTTCCTTTTTCACTCGCTGCAAATACGACTACAAAGCAAAGTTTGTTTGTGATGTTATACCCATCACAGAACAAAGGCTGGAACTGTTTCACATGTAAAAAAATGTAAAGGATGTAACGTTCTCCTGCAGAACCAAAGAGTGGTTTAATAATCCAGTGGAACCTCAGGCACAAGACACCAGAATACAGCAAAGTTGAAAGAGTTGACTTTGAGAAAAAAGCTTGTTTTTCTTTTTGCGGGATGCGCCGTGTAAGAAGATGAAACAGTCTGAATAAAATGTTCGTTTTGATGAAGCATTTGATGAAGCTGCTCCTAAAAAGTGAAGGCTCCTGGGAACTCGGCTGGACCAGTAGAGGTTTCATATGTTAGATCATTCTCCAACAAGGGGTAACCCCCCCACCTTTACCGTCCTACCGTCGGGTGGCAGCCTGATCTGGTGATTAAATTGTCACATAATATTCCACACAAACAGGTCACATGTGATGAATTCTTACTGGTGGTCTGAGTTCAGAAGCAGCAGGTAGCTATGTTGTGCTCCACAGAGGAGTTGTAGCAGTCACAGACAGCAGGGCGTGTTCGTTTTACTGAGCGGGCGCTATAAAACAGTAGCCTCCTCTATGGCATTGACCCATCTGAAACACAAGAAACATGACACCTTTTAACACAACGCTTCACTGAACACTTAATGACACATTCAGGCTTGCGTTATATTACCAACAAACCGCTACACATCTTTATAAAGGATCTGAAAACTATTTGTGTTTTATGTCTTTTTCTTGATTTTATAATTGTATGTTTTGTGGTTTGTCAACTTGATTGGTTACCGGCAGCACAGGAAGGCCACAAACGGTAACTAATTCTGTGCAATTCCTGAGCCTGATGTCATCGTTCACAGATACTGACACATTTTACAAAACATCTTGCCATCAAAGAACACATATACAAGTAGGTCAAACAAGTTAAAACATACTGAAGAACACAAAAGCAGATATGCCGGGTCGAACCAGGTCCCTGGTGGTCTAGTGGTTAGGATTCGGCGCTCTCACCGCCGCGGCCCGGGTTCGATTCCCGGTCAGGGAACTTAGTTTTGACAGCTTCAGATTTGAAAGTCATAAACATGCTGCTAACCTGCGCGCGGTTTGCGGATCCTCGGCCCTGAAGGTATAATACAGGGTTTTCTTGTGGTAGAGATGGAACACATTGCTTTCCTCTCCCTCTGGCCTCTCTGTTAGCTTGACAGTGAAGCACTGCAGCGGTAGACTCTCTGAAGCCACTTTATCCTGAAGGAACCAGAGTGAAGACATCAAGCACAGGCAAACAAGTTAAAAAAAACGCCAATCTCGCTGTCAGCAGCAATATGCAAATAACAAGAATGTCATGCTACAAGAAGAACAAAAGCAGTGCAACATTCAGATGTCAAAAGAAACAAGAGAGAGCACAGAGAATCCCTTCATTAGTCACATGAAGTGTTCTGCCCTGGAGGGAAGGTTGAACAGTGGACATAGGAGTGTTAAATAGTTTTGTACTGCAATTGGCCAGATGTAAAGAGGAAAATGGTTAGATAAAGGCTGAGAGGAAAGGCCTGAGAGTGCGCGAGTGTTTTGGGGCTGGTGCGGGAGACTCTGTGTCCCCTCACCTCACGGGCTGTGAAGGTGTAGAGCACCTTGTCTTTGAGGAGGAACCACAGACGCTTCCACTTCCTCTTGCTCTTCTTCCGGCGCTGCAGGCTGCCGCTCATGGTGGATCCCTCCACGATAAGCGACATCTGATGAAATGCATGACACATTAAAGCCTAAATGAATGCATAATAGACAGCTAGAGGGACTGCATAATACAACCGGAACCTTTTGTATAATGTAACCCAGCTAAACAAAACCACAAACTACAAAATCCATCTCCACTTTTTCTCTGACAGTGTCAACCAGAATGGACAACAAGGATACCACATGTCGTTTTTAATGCAGGTGCGGGATTACATTACAATCCTGTTATTTAGTCGAACCCCTAAAGATAGAAATGAAGGGCTCTCTAGACAGTGAACCCTCCTGGCAGGTTTTGTGCACTACACTTAGTAATTCATCTCCCTGGTAGTCTAGTGGTTAGGATTCGGCGCTCTCACCGCCGCGGCCCGGGTTCGATTCCCGGTCAGGGAACATTATTTACCTAAATATTTGAATTACAACCATCAGACATAGTACCGCAGAAGGCAATTACATTGAAAGAACAAAACACTGAAGTCATATCAAACTTATATATCACATCCATATGTACAATTACAATTTCAACTGGATTTAGTGATCTGTAACATGTAATCAAATAAGGCTGGTAAGATGTCATATTTTGAGGCTCGTGAAATGCATGTTTGAAATGAAAAAGTGGTACAGATGACATGTGTAGGCCACCTGATTGAGAGGGGAGGTGCTCTTCCTGCTCTTCCACAAACTCGGGGGCTGCAGGCTCTGGAAGACAGCAGAGAGGGGACGGCTGGCCCGGTGAGTCCGTGGGCTGGAGTTACCGCACGCCCCCGACACGCTGCAACCTAAACACACACACACACACACAGGCGCACAAACACACAGTTAATACCATATCAAAGAGGAAGAGTCACCAATATGTTTTTCTTTCTGCTGTACTGCCCCACCTTTGAGACACAACCGCATAAAAAACTGAGATTCACCTCTTTTCCTGAGCTCGGGATAGCAGTGGTCACACACTTTGGCCACCCTGTCTTTGAGGTACTTCAGTGGGTATCTGTTCCTGGAACAAGCACGGCACACCACCTGCTCCCAGAGACAGAATTCAAAGATTTGCAACCAACAGCAATAAATACTCTCACTGAAAACTCAAAAGTCTACTTAAAGGAACCTAGGATCATGGGTTTACTGGATAAACAATTTCTGTCTTCCTTTCCTTTCTACCTCTCGTCCTGATCAGTGATCTCCTAAAACTCCAGTACAGTGAAACACAAACAAGTCACAGTGGCTTTTGCAGTTCTGTGTATCTGACCTTGCCGCAGGCGTTGCAGTGGTGTCGTCTCAGCGTGAGGCTGAAGTCAGAGGTACAGTTCATGCACATCATCACGTGAGAAACTGGCACCAGTACTGGAGCAGCCTCACCCAGGGCCATCCACAACTTCTCACGGGCCTGTGGACACATGATGACAAGCAGACAATATATGTAAAACACAATTTCTGAAACTAGGGCCCTCTTTGTCGAAACCAAAAAGATATGCACAAAATAATTACATAGTTGACATCTCTTGGGGAAGCAAACACTTCATTCAAAACTATATAAACTCTTCTAAAAATGTCCACATGCCAACTGAGTCTTTGGCATTTTCATTTGTCGCATTCTGTAAATATAGACTATGAACACAAATGCGATGGGGAAACAAAGACAACTGTATCAGACACAATTACTTCAACTGAAGATGACATGAACATAGTCACTGTGTTGTACTGTTAACAATACATTGGCCTCCATTATGGTGCACACGAAAGAGCAAACCTGAATACCATTATCGTGTTCAAGCTCTGATTTCTACGTGATATAATTGATTGCAGATGTTTTCACAGGTGCATTCTGGGTGCAGGCGATTGATAATTGAGTGTGGTATTTTGATGGCAGTGTTTAGTAAACAACACACACACGTACAGGCTTTTAGTTTTGAATATTATATAGATAAGTACCAGTGTTTGTGTCAATTGCAAAAACTGTATTACTCTTAGTGAAAGCAATATAACTGCATTTTTGCAGAAATCATTTCAAAAGTAAACTTTTATGAACCAACCCAAATGAAAAAATGTCTTTAACTTCATCAAACAGCATTTCTTTACTGTTCTTACCTCACTGCAGGGTCCACCAAACGTACAGAGTCCTGCTGCATGGTCTGCTATGGCTCGACTCAGCGTGTGGAACCAGTCCTCCCTCTCTCCAACTGAGCTGAAGAGGGAAGCAGACAAACAATCACACCTCACCCGGAAGCCTTTGGATTGGACAAAAGGAGTCTTGGGCAAGTCCTAAACAAATTCACACACGTTAATTTCAAGGTTTTTGCCGTCAGATGCTCACCTTGCTGAGAGTGTTATAGTGATGTCAGACACCTCAATCTTAAGACAGTTCAGCACGTTGTCTAGAACCGGTTTGCTCACCTGTGTGAGGAGCAAAAACACATCACAGGTCAGACAAAAAGACATTGATGACGTTGGAGATTGTCAGAGAAAGAATAAATGAATGTACCTTCATCCCAGACAGAGAGAGTGTGTTCTTGAGCCTGTATTTCCCATCCTGCTGAGGGTAGGTGTACAGCATTATATCGTTCATCTGATAAAGAACATAGAAAGAGGAAAAAAGAGGTATATTATGTTAGGTTTCAAAGAGGTTCAAAGAACAACAGAGCAGATAACTGACAATGTAAAATCGTAGTTACAAATATTCAGCTATTCAGAATGTAATAACCCCTAATTTCCACAAGGTGGTGTTACCTCGAGAGAAATATATATACGGGCACCTCTTTGTTTATTCTTTCTTTCTTGAAAGCAACTTTCTGGGCCCAACTACTTTGATCATGTTTCCTTTCACAGCGTTCACACATGTCTGTGCAGCCCCTCAGTGCAACATTCCCATGTATGCACACAACAAAAAAATAGGTGTTTATTTGCTTGTCAGACCAAAAGTATTGTGATCGCCTGAACTCGCTGAGAAGTCCATTGTGTTGTGGGAGGCATTTAACTTCTTCCCAGACAAAAGAGATGACATCATTGGTCACACCTAATGTGTGCTCTAAACATCCGCTGGGGCCGTAAAAGCAGCATCCAGGAATTCTCCACCCTGCTCCAGACTCCAGGCCTCCCCTCGCCCTCCCAGCCTCCTCAGGCTATACACTGTGAACCAGGAATGGGTGGAACTGGCCACCTTCACCACCACCACCACCACAACAACAACAACACAAACAGCCGCAGTTACGGGTTCGCTGGCTCGACTGGCTGGAGACAAAACAGTGCGTGAGCCCGGGCCCTGCCTGCGACCTCTGGGCTGCGGCCACCGCAGTTCGTCTGCTCCACCCTGCGCCGGCAATTTACTCAAAGATTCCTTCCACAGAAACCCAACCAAGTGCCAAGTTAACATAGTTCACAAACGACTTTCCCAGATGAGACACAACATGCACCTACTTGACCCCTTGGCACCAAAGACATTTAATTTAACCGTGGCATTTCATCTTGTCCACGAACCCTTCACCTCATTCACCTGCCTCCTTCACTCGTACTCTCTTCCCTCTGGCAGCTTTCTTTACCTCCATCCTCCTCCTAATCCCTTCCCTCACTCATTCACCTCGCTTCACTTTCTTCTCCGAGCCCAGGCTTGTGACATGGCTGCAGCTTCTCTCCGTCGCTTAGGTGAGTGATGGCTTTCATCTTCAATGTTGTCTGGATTCTCCTCCCTTAAAAGCCCATAAATAACACCTGACCCACTGAAGCCGTCAACTTCAAGGAAGCAAATGGCTTTATAACCCTGATAGCCTAAATGTATCAACCACAAACCTTTGTTGGTTATCGCTCAACTGCAATTCTGTTTCGATGGACCGGGAGAATGATGGAAAAGAGCAAATTGAAGATAAAAAAAGAGATACATAAATCCATATCTTCACGTTATATTCTATTTGGATCAGCTAGAAAAAGCCAAAATCATAAAAGCTGCTCCTGGAGATATGCAGCTCCAGGATAATTCATAACATAAGACAGCACGGATTGCACATGGAACAATAGATTGGGCTTCTCTATTTCACGTTATGTGTTTGTGTAGCACCACCGCCCCCTCCTCCGCCACCTCCGCCTCCCTGCATTCTACAGGGTGTCTGGCCTTCACTTTGCTGTCAGTCCCCTCCCAATACACAGGAAGCCAGCATCCAGTGACCCACACCAAACATCCTGTAAGGAAGTGGGGCCCTGGAAAACAAGTCCTGAGAGGGGAGGAGAGGAGCGGAGAGGGAGGCTCTCTCTGGATGGGTGTGGTGCCAAGTGGTGGTCTCACAGCCTTGGCCTCGTGCACCCCCCTCCCAAATTCACCTACCTCGCAGACTGACCTCCACCCAACATTCCACCATTTCTTCATAGGCCTCGCTGTGTGTTTGCTTCAACAATATGGCAGGTGTTTTTTACTGCCAGATGTAACAACTGTTTACTCCTTTGTCATTACAAACTCATGGTGTGCATCCGAATATTGTTCAATCCCACAGAACTTTATCTTAATCTCCGCGGACATCCCAATGTTTCCAAATATACAAAATATGTGAAGTTACATTTCTGGGAAATGGGTGTAAAATCATGGAGTCTTGAGGTCAAATTTATAAGTCTTGTCCTTAGCCTCAACGAAAACACGGAACAAGCTACAGAATATACTGTCAGACAGTGAATGATTTTAACAAGACGGTGGTTAGCTTAAAGACTGGAAACAGGTAAAACATTGAGCCTGGCTCTATCCAAAGGTAAATACACATATAAATAAATTGTACAAAAATGTGAGGTTGCCAGAAAACTACAGACTTCAGGAAGTCACTGCACCTGGCCAAGAAAAAGCCAGGCTCAAAACCCCCTGAAAAACACAAATTGTAATCCTTACATAAATGAAATAAACTGTGATTATTGAACATTAGAAGTGCTGGTAGGCAGATTTTTTTTACTCTTTGGACAGAGCCAGGCTAGCTGTTTCCCTCTGCTTACAGTCTTCATGCTAAGCTAAGCTATTCGACTGTTTGCTGTGAGATATGAGAGTGGTATGAATATTACCAGAAACAGGTGTCGCGGCTGCCTGCTTTTCCTCGAGACCTTCATGAGTGTGCCTTCTTTGACAAACATCTGCCAAAAGAAATAAAATGCACAAAGAATAAGCATAAGAAAAGCATGTTTGTCTGTCAAATTGCAGCTTACATCCACTATGTTTTAGACGTCGTAAAGGCCTCCAAAATACTGTTCTTCAGAATAGAACGATGTTCTGCGGTGTTTTGCGAGTGAGACAGTAACACTGGCCACATGGTGCTCACCCTTCCGGGCTTCAGGACGTCCCTCTTGCCCTTCACGCTGTACTCTATGTGGACCAGACGCAGCAAGTTCTCCTGCGGGAGCAGAGAGAGCACAGAGATGGAGGGAGATTATCCAGTGATGGACGGAAGAGGAGACAAAGAATGAAACTGTCCCTGTTTGTTCGTGAATGAAAGGGAGGGAGGCGGAAAGGGATGTGATACTGAAAACTGAATAGGGGGGGGACAGAGATAGAGGGAGCCTGTGTTTCCACTGTCTGTCAGCCTGTGTGTGTGTGTTTGTGTGTGTGCTGCCTCATGTGCATATAAGTTGAAAAAAAAGCGAGTGTGATAAACAGAAGAGGCAAGCCAACGGGAGGCACAGGGGATCTTGACAGTGAGAGGCGAGAACAGTGGCAGGGGGGGGGTTGTAAATTATCTCCATGAACAGCTCATGTTTGAGGGGGCGCGTAAGTCATGTCCACCCTCACACTGCTCCCTTTGTAACGATACACCTGGGACTTTCTGATGGCATTATCTTTCCTCACCCCTTGCGTTAATCAACAAGCTGCGGAGGCCGGCCGCCAAAGAGGAATAGACCTCTCCTTCACTCCCAACATGTCATTTAGAAGAGATATTCGTACGCAGAAGAACCTCAGCTGTCTAACTTCTTCACGCTTGATCTCCATCCGAAAATTGCTCTTTCATTGTCGGGCCGAATATAAGGAGGTGTCTCTATAACGGCACGCTGGGCTGGGAATATATCAAACTCAACGGGAGCTAAACAGTCGGAATGGTCTAAACACATGGAGCGTATCCAGAGTAAACTCACCCCCTGCTTCAGATTGTCATTGGCCTGGTCCGCCACCTCGGACACGATCACCAAGGCAGCTGCAACACAAACAGAGGAAGAAAGAGAGAGATTTATGCGCAGCCCAATTCAATTAAGACACACTCAGTGACTGTGACTCAACAAATAGGGCCTGATGCATGTAGAGCAGCTGCAGTGAGTATGCATGTGTGTCAGTATGTCTTTGACTGCTGAGAAAACATCACCATAATGGTTCTGGTTATTAATATCTAGTTATATTCTGCGGGTTTACCTTGCGTGTCCTCGTATTCTTTTGAATCAGGAGAGAGGTTGTTCAGGTAATCTAGAGAAGACGCGGAAAAATATTCAAGACATGAAAATATCATTTAAATGCAAAGTGAGAAAGAAAAGAAAAATGGTGAAATTTCTTTAACTGTCTGTTACAGTACATGTCTATGTTCATACAATTTGCATCTCTTAATGCTTTGGGTAGAGAATACCATTGTTTTGGCGCATAGCTTTAAAAAAGAGCTGCTGATTTTCTTATTTGTATGATATTTAAATAACTGGCAGCAGAGGGTCTAAGAGGCCATGAAGGATTATAAAACTTCAAATAATCAGTAATATAAGCTGGTCCCAAACCATTAAAAGCCATGTAAACAAGTCAAACAACCTTAAAACCCAATCCTAAAAAGAGCCAGTGCAGTGTCTCTCGTTCTTGTTCCAGTTAAAGACTTACCAAACAGAATTCTGAATTAATAATACAGCTCACTCTTATCTACATGTGCTACTGTTGTATTGAGTTTTAACAGTTATTATTATCCCATAATTGCTACTGCTGGCCTCAATGTCCATTATTGAGCAAAAAATGACACGGGCTTGCTTTGAAGATTATTATGTGCGTGCGTGTGTTTGTGTGTTACCTGTGAGTAGCATTCGATATTGAAGCACTCTCACAATAACCTGAAGCAGCTGGTGTTTCAGTGGGACTTCAGCTTCCTCTGGGCTTCTCTTCTGCACACACACACACACACACACACACACACACACAGAAAGTGAGGTAAATTATACAGATATCACCACTTTACATGGGTGACAAAAATGTCTGCCAGATACTATAAAGACCCAGATTCTATGCTTGAATGTGACACATTGTAGGTTTTCATAAGTGTTCAGTTATTGTTTTTTTTATCTGAATACACAACTGGCATCTGATCATTCTGCTGAATAAAATTAAGGTGAAATTAAAAAATCTTGTTCATTGTGATCTCCAATCGAAGGACCTCAGGGCATCCCTGAAGTGCACCCAGAAAACCACAGCTCTGTGAAGGTAACCTCTACAATACGCTGCTTCAGGTCGAGGTCACAAGTGACCATTGGGACACTATCAGACTGGATGACCTTCACGCATCTCTCCAGCACACAAAAAATACCCTGAACAACTCACATTCTTCTTCTCAGAGTAGTCATTTGCAGGTGAAAGGGGACAGAAATTCACACAATCAAAGAGAGCTTTAGAAAATCAATCAGGATCTAATTGTCTTTGACAGGTATTTATGCCCTGAGCGGTGGAGGAGCAACAGGGGACATACACACACACACAGACACACACACACACACACACAGACACACACACACACACAGACACACACACACACACACACACACACACACAGTCTTTTCTTATCCAATGAAGTCCTATCCTTCATTAGAGAGGCACAGATAGCACCCTGCGGGAAACAGCATCTTCATCTTATTTAAGCTGCACACACTGCACACACACAAGAGCCCACGCAGACACACACTGTACTCATCTCAGGCACATTCACAAACACATACAATATATTATTGATAATGCGCACCCCCCCACACACAAGCAGACACATACACACACACACACACACACACACACAGACCTTGGGCTAGCGATGAGATAACACTGATTTGGCCTGTAAAAGGGAGGGATGGGAGGCGAGTTAAACACACCGCTCTTTGTCTTCATTATCACAATCTGGAGTGCAGGAGACAAAAAGTAAAACCGAGAGCCGATGCTTCTTTTAATGAGCAGCCCCCCCATGACTACTAGCTTCATTGTATTTATTTCTCTGTCTCATCATCCTTTTCTCCTTTGACTTCGGTCCTCAGCAACAACTTCTGATTTGAGTTTCTCTCACATTTCCTTCCCCCCTTCCTCCTCTCTCCTGCTCACTGCATGATGCATCGAGTACAATAATAACCAGCTCTCCATTATTAATCCCGCTTGGCTTCAGCACTTCCGCTCTCCTCAAGTGTCGCTTGTAAATTGTCATCCAATTGACACTTGTTTAGAGGAAGTGGCTTTCCAGAGATGGTAATTAGCACGTGGTTTGTTTGGGTGAGCGAGCCAAAGGGAGGAGGAGAGAAGAGGGAGCGTGTGATGTCTCATGCTGGGAGATAAACACACACACACACACACACACACACTTGCACAGACAAACAAACACATCTTTCACACTCTGTCACAGCCAGCTGATTTTCTGCCGACACACACACACACACGCACACACACACACACACACACACACACACACACACACACACACACACGTACACAACTGATCTAATTGGGGGGTTGTAAAGGAGGCTGCTTCTCTAATTAGCTTCTGTCTGCCTCATTGCCCAGCTGCCTTTACAACGAATTCACTCCATTGCTCTCTCTCTCTCTATCGCTCTCCGTCCACCTGCTGCACAGCCTCCTCCTCATGGGCTTCTTGCACAAGAGAAAACACACACAGGCTTTGCACAAACACCGACCATGGCATGAATATAAATCCAAGATGATGTGCTTTGGAAAGAGATTTCCTAAGCACGTCATTTTTTTTGAAGATAAAAATAGTTTTGCAAGATCCACACAATTCGTGTATGCACATGCCCCTGCAAAACGATCAGGCACCAGTATAACGAGGAGCAAACCCTCTCACACAAAGGGACACACACACACAAACACACACATCGCACTCTGTTGGTTGGCAAATGTTTCTAGATGGTGCGGTAAACAAGCAACTGGCTGTGGAGAGGTGGCTTTAAGGCCTGTAAGGGTCTAGCTCTGATCTGATCAGGGTCTGTGGCTACTTCATCACTGTCATCACCACATCCACAATGAAATTACTACCACTTGTACTTCTGGCTTGGGGAGGAGCAGGAGGGTGGAGAGGAAAGAGACGTGTTGAGGGAGCTAAGGGTTTAAGTCTTGGACAAAGAAAGAGAATGAAATGGGGCAATTGATGAAGAATTAACATCCCTCTCAGTAGTAAATATAGGGTATCCCATGACCTGTACGATCCTCCTTGCTCTCCCTCGGCCCACCTTCTCGCTCATTACAGTGGGGGTCACACACACCTTGCAATTCCCAAGGCAGTGCTCCGATTTAACGCAGCATCCATCACACACACACACACACACACACACACACACACACACACACACACACACACACACACACACACATAATGTCCTGGTGTGGGAGGGTGGGGAGTACAGGCCTCAGATTATACACTTATGTGCAATATGGGAAGCATAAATACAATCTGCAGTGCGGTGAATCTGCCAGCGGACTGAGAAAAAGGATTGATTATGCCTCTGGGTGTTTATTTTAGAGGTGTGAGAGGAATCACAGTCCTTACATGGACACATATGAGGAGTAGGAACAAAACAGACCAACCTTACTGCAGAGGAAGAAATCTAGTTATGTCCTTTAACAAGATGATATCCTTACATGCATTTATCGTTCTTTGCAAACCAAGCTTTTCATGGCTACTCCAGATAGCAATTAGTGGTTTATGGTGTGAGAAAAGGGATATAATATCAACTTCACGAGGCTAAAATCAAGAGGCACATTATTGACTTTGATCGAGGTTATCAAGGGCAACATTATTAGCTGACTTAGTTCAGGTGTGTGTAAGATACTAAAGGTCAGCGTGACGGTTTACAGTCTCCATCCCTCACCTCCACTCCCTTCTATTTACATTAGCTCCACCAAAGTCAGGCAGAGCCAAAGTTTTGCTGGGAAGGGGCAGCTGCCTCTGAATATTCATGAGCTGAGACAGTTGGTGCCTTGTCCGCTCGCTTTTCTTATCAAACTAGAAACGCCTGGAACCATTGTGGCAGCCACTCACAGTGAAGCGTGGAACTGGTAATTGGTCCATTTGGGGAGAAAGGTGCAACGTTGAGCAGGTAGCTTTATGAAACCCGAAGTTCAACTAAAAAACAGAAGCCTGGTAAAGGCTTTCATTTAGTTTCTTTCTTAGCCTTTCCAGGCTTTCTTACTCAGGGTGACCTGTGTGCTGCTACATAGCGGTTTTAATCTCTGTAAATTGGGAATCAATTCTACAGAGCAAGACACAGCCGCATGGAAATGAAAAATCTATTGCTGTATCTCTGCGGTCTTATCTATTGTCTCTCTTAATATCCTGTCTTTTAAATAAAATAGTCAATTGCATTGTTACCAGCTTGGACCATACCCATTCCTGTTCGACATAAGGATAAATTGTTGCTTAGGTCAACCAGGCACACAATCTGTGGACGGCTTTAGAATGAGCTTTTTTTGTGAATTTTGATCCCAACACTGAAATCCCACTTGCCTACTCTCCAGGGAGTAAAAGGATGAAGAGATCCATGCTGGACAAAGGACGAGTATTTGATGTCGAGTGGGTATGAAATATGCGAGCATGACAGTGGAAAGGTTAATCCCATGGAGAGGAGCGGGATTGAAGGGGTTTTTGGAAAGGCCATTATATCCCGTGGAAGCTGGGTGACAACATCTAAGTTGCGAATTGCTGAGTGAGTGCCAGGGAAATACCAGGTTACATTTCTGCTCCCTGGAAACAAGCACAAGGCTTAACTTTCCCTCCACAAACAGATTAACTAAAACCGAGATTTGAATATGTGACTGTCAAAATACTTTTTACCCTATTGAAGGGGGGATCTTTTGGTGTTAAGCAGTGGTCCAAATCCACGTTCAGTATGCTAAATAATAACACATAACAACACAAGGACGGACACAAAGATTCAGTGTTTTACCTCAAATTTCTTGACGATGTTGGCGAAGGCCAAGTTTTCCCTGCAGCTCTCCTCCAGTAAGGACATGCTGCGATCATACTCTGAGATAAAGGTGTCAAACACCCCAAAGTCCTCCCGACGTGACAGGATCACATCAACTACCCTTTGGCTCTCCTCCCTTCACAGAAAGAAGAACATTGTCTTTTGTCATTTCATGTAAAATACAAAGTCTACGATGTGCTCTGCGTCCCAAGAATCTGTAGCTTGTTTTCTTCTCCTCAACCAGCCTAATTCTCCCCAAATTACTGATTTCCCACATTTTCCATAATAATGCTCGACAACCTTGAACAAACATTTAGTTTTCAGTTGTAAATTGTGTGAGTTAGAGAGTTTACAAAATTAATTGTGGCTTCATTATATTATGGCCTCTTATGGCCTCTTTCCCTATGATTGTGAATATCTCAAAATGTTGAGTCGAGAAATAAATTATTGCTGAGAGTTTCCAAACACTATACCATTAATGTTTTGGTTCAAAGGAATTACTTTGACATTTTCGGAAAATATGCTTATTTGATTTCTTGCCTAGAGTCAGATTGATACCTCTCATATCTGTCCATTTATTGTATAAAATCATCTTAGCTTACCTTAGCTTAGCTTAGCACAAACGTGAAGTGAGCGTTAGAGGTGCTGGTAGGATTTAGGCTAGAGACAAGATAGGTGTTTCCCCCTGCTTCCAGTATTTATGCTAAGTTAAACTAGTCTTAAATTTAGTGCAAATACATAAGAGTACAGAATGTTTACTTCCCCCAAGAAAGCAACAAATGGTTATTTCCCAAAATGAAAAACTATCCCTTAGAAAACAGCACCGATGCTTTAAGAGCTAATTAATGACTTGCTCCAAAGCTCTTCAGTGTGGTGGAGTTTGCCGCCATACAAAGCCTCCTAGTTGAAGAAAGACCTCTGAAATTATGATATCATCCTGCTGTGATTATCATGACCTCATTGGAGAATGAATGATGGCTATAGCTGAAGTCTCTTTAACATACTGCATAAGTCTGTCTGAGTTTCAAGGGTATTGCGGCTACACACTAAATCCACCACTATGAAAACTGAGCATCAACTGTAGTGCACAACAACAGACCCCAGACAAACCAAGGGTAATGCCCATGGTGTTTCTTACCACTGACTAATGCGTTCCTCTAGCTCAGTAAGGATGCTGCTGTGGAGGGTGTAGACCTGGGGGAGCACGCCCAATATCTCTCCTAACCTCTGCTCCTCCAGCACAGGCTCCCCTTCCTCACCCACCGCCGCCTCTGTCACTGCGGACCTAAAGTCCTGCACAAGGGAGGGAAACAAGAATTTGTGAGGAGAGCTTTATAATAAGACAAAAATGTGGGGTAGAAAAAGAGAGGAATGGAGGAAATTGTTGTTAGGATGAAAGGAGGGAGTGAGGGAGAGTAGGAGACATGAAAGGCATAGAGGAATGAGGAATGATAAGGGGAGAAAAATGGAAGGAAGGAAGGTCAGATCCTAAACATCCTTCCTGCCACCCTCCCTTCAAATCACCTCAGTGCCTCCTCGCCACTTTGGGCTCTGTCCAGGCATTCAGGAAAGGCGGCACTGCTTGCACAAGAGTTACACACCAAGGTGTTGTTGCATAAAGTCCTTGGTACTCAATGACATAATGCTGTTTTGTACGTAGTCCCCCACTTTTCATTTCTCTGAAGACACGAGCTGATACAGTGATTCATATACAATGAATTCAGGTCCACTGAAGTCCATTCAGCACACATAAAACATAAGCGATAGGCATTAATAGCTGCAGTGTCAGAGACTAAGAGGACTAATATGAGGAGTTATGGCACATGGGAGAGAAAAAACCAGGGGAGAGGTTATTTATCTACTCAGCAAATTAAGAAAAGAAATGGATAAAAGTAAGTGAATCATGTGTCAACATGCTTTTAAAAAAAATCTCTGTTGGGGCCAAGCTGGGGCCAAGCTGTCTGGCAAACTAATGTCATATATATATATACATGACTTTAGCGTATATAGCTTCTGTATGTCTTTAAGGGATAAGTGTCTGGAGCTCATCTATTCAAGTTTTGTGTAAAGCACAGACATAAAACAAATAGAGCTGTCCCAGTCGGTTGAAAGATAATGTGGTGACACTGGGTGCTTCAGAACATGCCGTTCATCATACACAATCAATGGCGTATGAGTTAACATTCATCACATCTGCCGGCGAGAAGAACAGTAACAGCTCTGGTTGGCTCTGTCTCCCAGGTTACACACACACACACACGCACACACACGCACACACACGCACACACACGCACACACACACTCAGATCCATGAATGAGAGAAGCTTTGCTCTCAATTTCGCCGGTCCACTCTCCACCTTATCCCTATTTCTCTCACGTAAGGCGGGTCAAGAAGCAACGCTAAGCAGTTGGTTGAGTATCCAGTCATGCTTGGTCATAACTCAGCACAGAGAATCAGTTCAGACGTCACGGGCTACAAACGAGAACAAATAATAAGTCTAAGCCGTACATATGTTGAAGCTGTTACAGGGAAAGTCCTTAAACAGAGGAGCATGGCCTCCCTTCCTATGTGGAGACAGGGTCTGGAAATTCTTTGTATTCTTGTTATTCCTTATCAAACAATGGAACAATAGCCCCTGTGTGCCTCTCACTTAACGCTGCTCCTGTGTCCCCCCCCCAGTGTTTGTGCATGTTGTGCCGCTGGAGTGTTTCCCAGCTGAATTGCTCAGTTTCATGCTAATTATGACATCAGTCTGCATCAAACAGTAACTAATACGTTGACACATCACGGTTTGAAGTTTGAATAATAGCACAGCACCAATGCATTATGCAACAGCTTGATAACACAAGCAAGCAATGTCACCTTTGAAAGGTGGCCAAGAGATTCAATTAGGTGGTATGGTAACACTGAAGAGGAGCGCAAGCCAAGGTTACTCAGGATCTTTTGAAAGTGAGAATTTGTGAAAACAGATAATTTACTATGAACAATGTAATTCATTGGTTCAGGCTACACTATCAAAATGTCACTTCTGTGGCACTGATGCCCATATTGACTTGTTTCCGTCTGTGCTTTGGCATGCAGCAGCTAATTAGTACAATTGAGCATCATGATGAGATTGCAGATTTATGATTATTATAGCCGTCCATTGTATAATATTTGCATTACTTGCTGTTTAATGGCATCACCATTACACATTACACCAGACAGCTGCTTTTGAATCCACATCAGGCTTTCATAAATCATGGTGAGGGGCACACATAAGACATTCAGGTTAGGACCTTGTTCAAGGTTATAAGGTTCAGGCTGACTGATGGGTCTCTCTGGGTTCAATGACTTTACCTGTCAGATGTGTACTGGCAACCATCACCTTAATAGCAACTCTTCCACGTCATCCTTCAAAAGCTGCTGCCTATCTGACCTCTCCTGTACGACTTTCCTTTCTGATTTGAATTAAATAAATGCTTTAAATGTTTGATCGTCATTTGGGCAGTGAGTGAGAAACGATGGAAATAGATGACAACATTTGATAGTGGTGCATTGACAACATGGAGAGGTTTTCCACAGCTCACCTTTAAATCCTCTGTCTAGCATTAACTACGTTACTCTAGTCAGAGACAAATTCTCCATTTTATGACCAACCAGGTAATAGAGTGCTGCATGGAGGACGTGTTTTTGTAGGCCAACCCTGGAAGTTAGCGTCCCACTCGTTCCGTCGACAAAAAGTCACATTTTTGGGGGGATTGATGAAGAAAATAAACTCTATGGCAAACACAGTTTTGTTGAGTTTATGGTACTTACAAGTTGGGTTCATCTGTTACTCTTCACAAATGAGCACAACTTTCATGATTTTTGAAGTGCACTCGGCAGAAGTAAAAAGCTAACGCTTCAAAATTCACAAGAGGTGTATTTACTGCTGTATTTTATATCGTACAGCAAAACTATCGCCTGAGCTTGTGTTAACCACAGACCTTTTTTCAGTCATGTAACCATAAAACACATTCATAAAACCAATTGACTTTGAGAAACCGAGATTTTAGGGTTTCTTGGAGGACTCTAATAGGGGCTGATACCGTGCATCCAATACAGCCACAATAAAAGACCTCGGCAGCCTTTTTGTGGCCGTTCGCCAGCTAAGTAACAGAGTACACATATCAGTTGAGTAAGAATACAAGAACAGCATCAGCATCAGCGCCTGGTGTACGCACGCTGCGTCATCGTACTACTGACCACTCCAGAGTGCAACATGTCAACTTTGTCAAGACCAGGAAGTAGATCTTGCTGCAACAACACTGATAAACCTGAGCAGAGCCTTATAATGGGGGGAGGGAGAAGATGGAGACAGAGACTAGGGAGCAGACACACAGGATATATGATGTTATCAGTAGGGTTTCAAGAAGGTTTAATAGGCAGGAGACATTTAAAGCCAATGTGACACACTTCTGTGGTGTCAGCGAAGCTTTTCTTACCTGTTGAAGGTACTTGAGGGCGCTGACGTGTCTGAAAACACAAAGAGTGAAACACAAGATTTAATTACGCCGTGAAAAGTAATTCACAACTTTGTACACAAATACGTTAATCTTTCTGCAAGGCTCATTAAAATGATCTAAATTATGCATGATAGAGAAAACGCCATCAGAAGAATGGTTAAGTGTGTAGCAGGCCAAGGCTGCTGTGTTTAATAGGTTACACGAGACACTCGTTTAATTGGCTGTCAGATACACACACGATGAATTAGCTAAGGAGCAAGGGAGATACAGTTGGAAGGAATAGGAGAGTAGATATAAGGTTATGAAAAGACAATACATCAGATGTTTGTGTGTGATGAAAGACATACAGGGGAAGTGTGCCAATGGGGAAATCCACGAGCGGGGGGATACTCACAGTCTCTCTGAGTCGACGAGCTCTTTGGCGACGTAGAACGCTCGCGATCGGCCATCAATCTGGGGGACAGCGAGAGAGAACAGCGGGAGGATGAATGAACACAGCGAATGTTTAAAGGCTCTCTGTGGACACTTTTATAGGACATTAATGGGAACAGCGACGCAGCAGCCAAGAAGACCGGTGAAAAAAGCAAATTCACTATTTTTTCTAGAATTTCTTCTGTCAAAATAAGACAGATTATTCCATTAAAGGACTGCATAGACATGAGGGCTTTCTCAAATACAGGACTTTTAAATGCAGATACATTATGTATGAGCGGCTGCGTGTGTGGCGACCGCAATGCTGCCCATTGATTGAGAGGCTAATCACAGGGTCTGAAAACATCCGAGCCAAAACATAACATTGAAGCCATTTAGAGGTTTACCGGCAAGGCTCCTGTACTTTGTCAGTGTTATTTTTTCCTACGTGGGCCATTTCACAAATGCTGCATCAAAAGCACGCTGATCCTCATTTCCTCGAAATAGAAACAAAACACAGTTCCATTAAATGAAACTGTTCCTGAGGCCAGCTCAAGTCTCTCTGATCCTCTTTTCCTCTCTGTTTTTTTCCTCAATTTATTGTGTTTTTTATTATTTGAAGAAGAAGAAAAGAAGGAAATGCGTGTCGCATGGTGGGAGCTGTGGCCTGATATTTTTATGGTAGCAGGACGGGTGGAGTCCATCTCTGATCTACTGTAAAATGGTTGCTTTTTACTGTACGGAAGTCTGGGGAACTTGAGACGGTACATTCCAGCATGATCTCTCTGGACCTTCATGTCCCACATAACGCTCCAGCAAAGCAATGTAGGCTTGTGAATGTAAGCTATAGCTTTCATAATCATCTTCCCATCGAAATGTGCACAGTAATTATGCAGGGTTCTGTTGCTCACATGCTATGATGTAATTTTTATTCAATAACAACTGTCCAATCTAGGGCCTATTAATTGGACTTCATCATTTGATCATGTTGAATTGTTGTGCCAGTTGGGAGCTCAAAGGATTGATTCAACCACCTTCTACCCTGCTTTCATTTGTCTCTGAGTGCCATATCTCACCTGACTGTCATAACTCGGCTCAGCCACCCCCTCTTCCTCCTCTGACGTACGCCCGTGGTCCTCGTCCGCTGACAGCCCAGCAGAGACGGGGTTCAGTGGGAAAGGCTCTGTGTAGGCACTGCCAAGGGAAGAAAAGGCAGTATGAACACAGCAAACAGGACCAGTAAATATTAATATGACTATAACACCATTTACACTACAGCATGTGTTAAACAGCATTGCTTTAACCGTAGAGAAAGACACTGAATATTTTCAGTTGGGGTGGAGAAGGAGACATTGATGACACTAATTCCAAATAGCAAATTTACGGTAAATCCTTGCAGCAGCATAGTCTCAAAACACTGAGCAATATGTCCCCTATACTATAAATATACACTTTTCCTGTGTGTGTCTCTGAACATTTCCACTCCTCATATGGCGTCCTCCAGTGGCCCACTGTAATCTCTTTCATCATTAGTTCTTTTCACAGATGGCGCCATTGTGTTGGTACACTGGTAATCCTTTTGTGTGCTGCTGTACCTGAGGGGGGCACGCTATAGGTCATTTCACATGTAATCCCTTTAAATGCTACCTGTGGTAATTATTAATGGCCTCTGGCCCATTAAGACCCATCCAGTATGTTTGACCAAACTCACATTGCCACAATGATAACTGGACAACAGATATGCTCAAAGCAGCTATAGGACAGCTTGTCGTTTGATTTGTTGTAAAGAACAAGTTCAGAAAAAAGAAAAAGATTTTAAAGTTAATCGTGTTACTTTGTCAATAATTGTCAAACGAGTTACGGATTCTACTATCAGTCGTTTAACAAAAACATAATCTGAGATATTTTTCTTATCGATTATGGGTTTTAAATACTTTTGAGCAAAAATGCCAAACGCTCTCACGTCACGTAGGATTTACGGGAATTGTGATTGTTTAAATTTTTTTCGGGCATTTTACAGATAATAATGAATGTTTGTCCTGTCCTGATGTCTTAAACAGCTCCCTGTGTGTGTGTGCAGAGAGTAGACGGCTATTAGAGGACCAAAGGTTAACAGAGTTACCCAACGGACTTCATCTCCATTCAGTCGCAGTTTATGAGGCTCACACACACACACACACACATTGGGTGGGCTGAAGAAAGCATCTACAGGCCATTACTCATGTTTGACCTCAGAGCAGACAGATCAACCTGGTGTGGGCTCCTGGGTGATGTTGGGAGGGAAAGAGAGCAGAAGGGATGGGTCTTCGTTCAACTCATTCTTAAGGTCTGATTTAGTCTGCGAGTGAGGGGAATTCCTTCATGTGTTCAAGAAGAATGCACCGCAGATTCTCACCTTCACCGTTTCACCCGAGAGCACTGACAGCACAGTCTCTGAAAACACGCCTTCCGTGCTGTAATGGAGGGTTCTGTTCAATCTATAATAATGTTCCCCAGAAAAGCACAACAGAAAACTGAAAAACAATTAAATAGTTGCTTCTTTGAATTACATGTCACTTTTCTTCGACAGAAAACAATAACGTTTAAAGTTGAATTTCTTCTATACCAATATAGGTAATTTCCTGCCATAACAATCCCAAATATAGCGTTAGTTTAGCTCCAGTCAGCTTCAGTTGATAACGTGTCCATATTCAAATCGGCGAATATGTAATATGGTAATATGTGAAGCCCTTTAACAAGACCATTAAGGTGATACTATTATTCCAGCAGATTGCAATGTCTTTTATAACATGGCAGAGTTAAATCTACTGTGTCAGATTCCCAGCTCACAATGATTCTCTGTGAAAAAGACCAATATTCCACTATTCTCCTGTGAATTTGATGATGCCTGTAATATGTAATTCAATTGAGCTCAACCGTCAGTATTGAAATATGTATTAGGTGCAATCAGACGGGTCTTTTTCAACTTGTAATGGCACTATTGTAAGAAATGGGAGCAGCTGAATAGGTTCATTAGCCTGCCAACTATAGAAGAGGTGATGAAGAGATTGTGGGTAGTTTTAAATTGTTTGCTCCTTTCAATGATGATGATTACATGTAGCCTGTGGCTGTTGTGCTGCTGCTTTTGTGACATTGTTTGATGAAGTGATTTGTGAAGACGCAGACTGCTGCTGTCTCACCTTTGACGTCTTTGGCTAATAATAACCCCACATCTTGGGATTCAGGGCCTCATAAGCAACAGTGTTATAACCTCTACTCACTTGTTTAACCCACTATGCCACTGTATCAAGAGTACTTTGAGGGTGTATGAAGTGGGAGGCTGAAGGCATTCCTGGCAAACGGGAGCAACAATAACAGCAGACCTGGCATTCCTGGCGGAACCACACCTCCTCTTGTTGTTCCAGGGAGAGTCTGTGGGAACCCCTACTCCTCCACGGTGACCCCCTACTCCTACCTTCGCCCTATCTGTCCTCTCCTATCTCCACCTCCCTGCCTCCCGCCAGTGCCCCACCCTCGACCTGCATTTCCTGTAAACAGACTGGTGGGAAGCTCCTAGGCTGGACACTTCCTCCCCGGGGATGACCTGGCAATGACCTCAGAGCGCATGGCACCAGGCCTGGCGAGCCAACGACACGCCCCGTCCATCACCTCGCCACACAGCACACAGCCACCACCCAGTACAACAATGTACTTAAGATGGCTCCCTCATCACTACTAACGCTAACATAACAGTGGGTGGAGGAGCTGTTTTAGAGGCCATGGCAGGGCTCTGTCATCACTCTGAAGAGGTTTGTGTTGAACTGTTTGGAGTGAAAATTAGACCAAACGGTAAGCAAGAGATGTACATGTTTGCATGCATTAGCAGTATCATGCTGAACATAACACCGTAGCAGCACTAAGTTGTAACTTAGTGTGCATGAACATATATGCGCGCACACACACACACACACACACACGCACACACCTTGGTTGGGTTTGAGATGAATCATTAGTGTGCCGGTTCTTTTTCCATTGTACACTGCTTGCTAATGAATATGTCTCCTTGCATACATGTTTGTGCAGAAGTAATGTCTGAATGTTTTTATACATTAATCACACAAGGTGGAAACAAGCCAAGCCTTAGGAACAGCAACTTTGTGAGTTCTTAAAATGCATGTCTGCTACTGTAGGCACGGTCCTTTTGTGTGTTGTGCTCTGGGGCCGCTGGGGCAGCAGCGATGTCAAGCTTTGTACAGAGTTTATTGTAAGACGTACACACAAAGGCAGGGACAAACACCTACGCTCACTACACATGACTTGCATTGAGTGTATACACACATGCATGCACTCACTCTCAAATAAACATAAAAAGCCCAGTATAGACACACCAAAGAGTGGCCCTGGCAACAGAAGCGTCTCCGGGGGGAATGCGGTGAAGGCAAGGCGACAGGACAGATAGGTTCTTTGCATCATTGTGAGTGGTGTGAGACTTCCACCACACAATGATGCACATCGATTACATTACCGGGAGAACAAGAGCCCTCACTGAGGGACCATTGTCTGGGAAATGGAAGGGTTTTAAATGTTGAGATATACGTAAAGTGTAAAGTACACTGTAAATAAACAGTAAGGAAATCATGGTATAGTGTCTACTGCTGCACAGGATGACTGGAGGAGACAAGCTTTATGGGTGTGAAAAGTTGTATAAATGATTTTAACTGCAAGCTGAAACCTTTTCTACATGATATAATAGTTACGAAAGACAGTATGTAAGCAGAATAGAATGGTGAAATAAGCTGGCTGCACAAAGAATATAAACAAAGTATAGCACAAGAAATAAAAACAAATGCAGAAGCATTTTGCCCCAAGATTATCTTAAGCCTTTCAAGAAGCTCGTGGTAATGGCCTGTCTCTTTGACTACACACAGGTCATCAAACACAACTATTTTATTAAGACTGGGGAAAGACTGTAGCCCGTAGTGGCTAAAGCTGATGCGCAGGCCGGGGTAATTTTGTACAGTCTGACCGCGGTGATTCCTCACTCTATCACACACTGCAGTAAATCCTGCGGCCCCTTAAGGGTCCAATGAAAGAGAAGCACTTGGGAGAGAGCTACTTCAATAAAAGCCCTCCTAAACTTAACAACAAGTGTCAGGTACAGGAGAGCAATTACACCAGAACTGATCTTGCTCCCTTTCTCCCATTCTTACTTCCCCCTCCCCCTCCTCTATATGACTTTATCGCCTTTCTCCCTCTATTCTTTCTCTTCTGCACCTTCATATTAACAAATCCCCTCCCTTTGCTCTCTCACATTTTCTCATCCTTCTCCACCTCCTTGTGTGAAAGGAACTCCCCCACATTTCTTCACTTTTAATTGCAGCCCATAATGACTTTATCTAGTGTGAGGAGTAACCTGCGCTCTGTGAGCTACCCAATCGCTATGACCTGTTTTATCACCTCAGAATTGCATGGGAAGCAGCAGCACCAGATGCGACCTCTTAATCCACCAAATGAAAAACAGGAGTAAGCTCTCCCACCAGCATTGTCCATCTTCCCAAAGCCAGTGATGCCTGACACAGCAAGCTGCTCATCTCTCACTGAACACTATTCTACAAGAGGGAGATCCGATTCTACTCAGCCAGGTGCCCTCCGCTCATCTGAGATACAGTGTGGGAATATTCGTCAGCTGTTCAGGGGTCAACATTGCCCTTCTGAGGAGATAGGTCCAGGCCAAACAACTCAGCTATTTTAAGAGGGGTTCCAGAGATAAACATGCTTGCTTCTTTTATAGACTACAACGTGCAGGAGATGCTGCTTTGTTTCTATAGTTTAATCCTGGCATGTATAAGAAGATTAGCTGTAAAGTCATTCGATCCTAAACAAAAACACATTTCAGGCTTATTATGTTGAAGACATCTAATCTAAGGCTGCAACTGAGGACTGTTTCCTTTATTGACTTATGCAGATTGATTAATTGTGTGGTCTATAAAATGTCATAATGTAGTGAAAACTTAACATTCCAGTTACCCAGAGTGCAATCTGATTTCTTCAAGTTGCTTGTTTTGTCCAACAGTCCAAAACCCAAATGTGTTCAAGCAAATATTTACATTTGAGGAGTCGAAACTAGTTAACATTTGGCACCTTTGCTGGAAAATGGTTTCAATCGACTATCTCTAATCTTAGTTATGGATAGTGCTGATTAATACGTAATATTTAATACATTAAAGGGTCAGTATACCCAGGTCTGTGGTATCCAGCCATGCAGGTAATTTTGGTTTTATTTGCCCAGACTTTAAGAGATCTCTGAAATTTCTGCTTCAGCCCCAATACAATTAAGGTGAAAAAAGTTCAACAGCAGTTTTCATTGAGAGGTTCTTTTGGGTCCAGTGAGTTGCAGACATTTCAGAGAAACATCTCGGCAAGTAGCTGTATGGCTATACCACTAAAGTTAAAACATGAGATAATGTAATATGTGTTTTTTGCAACTTGAGTGAATCCACCCTTTCAGGTTAACTTAAGAAGATACAAAGCCATTTTAACTTTACAGAGCTTTTACTTTACCTTTCAGTGTCGTCTTTTGATGTCTGGGTTATGCCTTCAATCCCAGGGAAACTGTTCATATCCACATAGCCATCATTCTCATTGCAGGCGACTGTAGTGCGATTTGGGTCCTCAAAAAACTCAGTGACAGTGTGGGATCTGGTGGGTCTGACAGGGATCTGGATATTCTCATAGTCTGAGCTCAAGGCAGGGATGTTTTCATAGTCTGAGGTGTCCGCACTGGGGAAGGAGATGGAGCGGGGTTTGGTCAAAGGCAGTGGCATGGGGGAGCGCCGAGAACGCTCCTCGAAGGACTCCACTCTGGAGACGCTTCCGCCATAAGCTTTGGGGTCACCTTTCCTCCTCTGGTGGTCTTTGTATAGGACAAAGGGGGATGGCAGTTCTAAAGGACGTTGCTGGGGGTTCACAATGTGGTTCTGAAGCTGAGGAGAGCTGCCGGTGCTTCTACGATCAAGCTCTATGACTCTCCCGGGGCCGTGGTGGCTGGACTCGGAGGAAGAACGAGAAGAGCGGACACTTCCATCGATGAAACCCTTCGAATCTGTCTTCCTCTTGAACTTGAGCGCCAGGAAGCGCTTGAAGGAGGACTTCTTCTTAGGTATGTCGTTGGGATCATGCTGGATCAGGAGGGATGGGGAACTCTTGGTGACTGGTCTTTTAGTGATGTATGCCAGCTCAAAGGGTGGTGGGATGTCCACTAGAGAGGTTGGCGTGGAAACACCACTGGATGATTGATGGCTACGCTGGGAGAAGCTTCCAGAAGAGGTTATGACACATGGTAGAGAAAGCGTATCATCTTTCCTCTTCATCCGGATGCCATCCTTCAGAGAGTGGTTGATCTCTGTGGGAGTGGTCAAGGTCAATTCTGGACCCTCTGCAGATCGGGAATAAAACAACAAACGTTGAGACTTCATAGACGGGATCGAACACTTGACCCCAGGCTGCTGTGAATCGCTAAGTGGTTCGTTGTTTTTATCTAAGGCCACTGTGCAGTAGTCATGAGTCTGGTACTCCGTCCCAGTCTCCTCTGGTACAGTTTCTGGGACGTAACCTGGAACTTTCCCAGAATAAGAGCGTGATCGTGTGACAATTGTCTTCCGATCAATTGTCAAAAAGTTCTCCCCTTCTGAGTCAAACCCCGCCTCCTCGTATATATGGTCCTCGCCGTCTGAGTCTGTGTCCTCATCGTAAGGCACAATATGGCAGTCCAGTTCCTCAATGTCTTCTTCAAAGGCTTCAGTGGTGTGGGCAAACACTACCCTGTTGGTGAGCTCCGGGGTGCGGCCTCCATCTAGGTCTGCTGGCACTGTGATGTTGCACAACCTGAGGCGAGGCTGGCAGCTCTGTCGCTGGCTGAGGAAAGCCTCGTCACGTTTAGCCGTTCTCTCTTTTGCACTTTTTCCTTTAATATGCTTCTTTTCCGTTTCTTCCTCTTCGTCATCATCGCCTATCTCGACGTAATCCTCCGATGAGACACACTCCAGCTGCTTGTCTTCTGCTTGAAGGCAGAGTGAATCGTCAATATCTGCATACTCATCTGCTGACTCGCTGTCATTTGCTTTGCCTTCGTGCTGATTCGACTCCTCTGTGCCCTCCTCAATCTCACCCTGTTCTGAGAAGGCTTGCTTATCCTCTAGCTTGTCCACGTCATCTGATGTCACATAGTAAGGTTCCTGGTTAGAAGCACCTTCCGTTTGCGGTTCATTTGAGGGTTTGTCATCAGTATCATCCTGACTCCACTCTGGGTCAGCGGTGCCGGTCATATCTGGTGGAACAGCTTCGATGAACGAATAAGGCCCAAAAACATCCTCAGTGCTGGATGTGAATCGGAAACAGCCAGAGAGGTCCTTGGTGGCCCGTTCTGGTTGCCATACCCCTGTTTCCCCTGTTTCAGCTGGGTCACATGACTCACATGTATCACTAGCATCATCTGTGGGGCCAATCACATCGTAGGGATACTCCTCAGTTACAGTTGGAAGCACACTGAATCCAAATGCAAATCCTCCAGCTTCTAGCTCAGTCTCATCTGTGTGTAAACAGTGCACAGAGTCCTCACTTTGTTCACTGTCTACTTCATTACGTCCAGTATCATTGTCCTCATCACCCTGACTGAGGGATTGTGGTTGGTCAAGATTCTGTTTCTCCACATGTTCGTGTCCTGAAGAGTCACAAACTATGTCAGTTTTTTCACTAAAACTTGGTTCCTTCTCTTCCGCCTCCTCTCCCGTTTCATCCTCCATCTCAGCAGGATTAAGTGAAGGCGATGATGTTTTCTCATCATCAGTGTGATTTCCAACTGCAGGCTTGATGAAGTCATTGTCAGTGTTTTCATCCTCAGTAGTATCAACATTAGAACCATCATCAGCTTCGACTGTGTCCTCAGAACCAATGCGGTTGCCATCATTATCTAATATATCTACATCTTTTTCTGTTTCCTCCTCAATTTCTCCTTCTGCTATGTCCTCTTTGTCATTGTGCCCAGTGCCGGTGTCATTAACCCCATCCTCGCTTTTCTCCTCTTTGTCCTGGTTCTCCGCAGCCATTTCATGAAGATCCTCCGTCTCCCCATCAGAGTGAGCCAGGTCTCCGTTACTCAGGCTCTGTAGGGGGCAGGACTCCCCTTGTGCATGAGGCTCATACAGGGGTCTGGGGGCGACAGGAGGTTTTGGATGAAGGACAGGGGGACACTGCCTGGACATCAGTTTGGACTGCACTTTGATGGTCAGATGACTGCGAACCTTTGGTTGAGGGACTTGCAGTTGATTTTGAAAATCTGTGCAAAGAGAGTAAAAGTTAATTTAATAAAAAGTAAAAGATACTTAAAATATTTCTACATTCTTTTACATAATATCAGCTTACACAAGGATAAAAATGTAGGTCCTGCTTTGGTATAGAAGAGGAAGTCAAGTCATGTACAATAGTCAGTGACATGCAGAATGCTGCAGGGGACATTATCAGCAGGAAAAACAACAGAGCCACAGGGTACTTAGAGGAGGAACAATAACATCTCCCTGTCTGGGAAATGACACATGCAGGTTGGATGCTTATGGCAGATTAAACAAATGATGGCTAATTGCCATCAAAACCTTTGAAGATGATTTTGTTATTGGTCCTTATATTCATTTAAATATATTGAAATGGAAACATGAAGGATGATTTACAGCTTTAATCTGAAATCACTACATCCTGCTTTTGACAATGAGCGTCTATATGTGTTGCTTTTGAATTTAGACTTTACGTTTAGTATCCAGTTAAAAATTGTGAAGTCATTATAGAGCACTTCTTGCAAAATTTAGAATTGTCATGAAACACACCCCATACTTAATAAAGTGTGTACACCCCTTGTCTCTTCCTGTTATTTAGTACCTGCCCTGACGCACATCCTATTAAACCCTGTGTGCACTCTGGCTATCTCTGAGTGTTTCTCCCTCTCTCCCTGTCATGGTCTCTCTCTCTCTCTCTCTCAGTCTAATATGAGCTTTTGAAGAAACTGCCCTTCTTTGCCATATAGCTTTCCGCCCACAATTATACATATTTTTTCTCTATTAGTGTCATCCCGCTCTTTCTTTTAAGATGCCCAAGTTCATTAGCTGCTCTGGCAGAGCCTCCTTGGACTCCGCACAGGATGTCCATGGGGGGAGGATATTAACGCCATGGCCCCCCATCCCTCTTCCATGAACCTCTCTAGGAGTACAGATTTTCACAACACAAATGGACTTCCTTCTCGTCATTCTTCCCTGATTCTCATGAAACATACTCCTACTGCAGCACACACACACACACACACACACACACACACACATGCACACACTTTTTTTCTGAAAAGGTCCTTTGAGTGCGTCAAAGAACAATACAACTGGAAGAGAAAACAAGGGTCCCGCTCTGACAAAGCACCCAACTGCAAACAACAGGATATGAATTATGCAACAAGAATTAAATTAAAACAAATGTTTGAAAACAAAGGAAGAGATAGACACTGGGACCTTGGCTGTGCCAAACTCACAGGATATGATTTCAGACCCTGTCTCATCATGAAATGTCACCCGTTAAGTCTGAACATGCCCGTCTAAAATACAATGTGACAAGGCTGTAGAACAAAAATGAGACATTGTTTTCAAAATAAATGTTTCCTTTGACAGAAATCACAAACAAGAGAACTATTTTAAACTATATTTTCACTTAATAAATTCACAGGACACTGCACTTGCAAGACAGGTGACCTTCTCTGTCTAATTTCACAAACATGGATTATAATCCTAGCTCTAACCCTATTACTAATCCTAGAACAGATTTCCCCAGTGGAGTCTTCCATGGAAAGCAACTTTATCCAGTGCTATGGATTTAAACTCACACCAAATTTCTGTGTATAGAATTCATCACATTTGCATTGTTGTTATGGTAAAAACCATGCACCATCATTTCCATGAAAATGTATCTTTACCTATGGCGTAGCCTAACTAATACAACAGGCTGCATCAAGTTGCATTGGATATCAATTTGTATGTGAAATAGGTGGAAAATAAACAGTGTTCAGACAGGATCAACCAATTTCAAGAATTACACAAAAACACACCTGCACACACACTCGCGCTGTCTCACTTTGTGTGCTGTGAAAACATTTTAAAGTTTGCTTTCCGGACTCTTAACATGAGCATTAAATATTAAAAAAAAAACCCAACCTGTGTTCATTATGGGGCATCATCATCCACGGGAACCGACAGTTATCCTCATGTTTCCCCACACCGACCGCGTCGCTCGAAATGACGTGGAAACTTAATCCAGATACAAACACATTGCGGGAAAATCAAGCGGTAAAGAAAGATTTTCGGATCATGTTGTTTGTTTTCTCCAGTCAAAGTCTACTCGTGCAAGACGTCCGTTGTTCGCAGAGTTGCAGCGGAGCTTTCAGCCGGCGTGCATCATCCCCAGTGCTGATGCTGCAGTAAACTGGTGCGCTCTTGTGTGGAAACGGGAGGTGCTGCTTGGCGCTTCCTGAGGCAGGACCAGCCTACAGCACGGCGCGCGAACCAAACCCACTCTCTATATGTGTCGCTCAATGCACATCATTACATCTGGGATATTGTATATTCACATCTGGTCATGTTCCGTTTCAGGACACTGCTCTACAGATGTGGGGCAACGGTGCTGTGCCATATTAGAGGCGGAACGGTTTGACACCAAATCCACTCAGTGTGAGAGATTTGGACTAAAAATATGAGACTATAAGCCCGTGTTTCATTGTGATGATGGCCAGATTTAAATCTGCTTTTTTAGATCACATCTTTATGCTTGGAAGGACTGGAACACATGTAGAGAGGATCATAGAGTATGTATCAGAAATCAAGCATATATTCTCCTCAGCGTTTTCTCCAGCCTGTTTTGCTATGCTATTATTTCCTGAACCAGAACAGTGCATAGAAAGGTTCCTAAAAGCAGTTTCCAAATACAATTTCTCTAGGACACCAAAGCTTTTGCTATTGGCAGGGCTTCCTGGCCCGGCATCTGTTGCATGATTGAATGAATGCAAGCCTTTAAAAACCTCTCTTCATAACAGGAAACCGCTCTCCCTGTTTCCTGCACAACAGGCAACACTTCCTTAGCAACAGATGGGAAAGGTTGGCGGCGTTAACCCCTTAGGTAACCTCTCACAGAGCTGATTGACTGGTGCTGTGCAGAACCTGATGGTTCGAGAAACAAGACAAACCTTGACCAGCTTTAGTCTGGGACTCAATGTGGGCTTTCAAGGACAGAGGCACCTTGTGCAACACGGGGGGGGCTGATCGTCTCCCACTTTGGGGTTTTTCAATTGTCAGCTCCCAACGCTGGTTAAACACCCACACCTTGAAGGTCAAACAATGTAGCAGACTTTGGGGATTTTTCCAGCAGATTTGAAATGTAGAGAAGCTCAACAGAAGAATCAGCTGTGCTGTAGCACCGCGGGGCTCTGGTCCTGGCTGCTGCAGCGGCATACATGCCCATACATTATACACACGGCAAAATTCCCACTCCAGATGGTTTGGTGCAGGAAGAATTTAGCACTGCTGCAGGTGCAGAGCTCTGTCAGACTCAAAGAGGTAGTTAGAGAGAGTTCATGTCATAATCACCTCATGTTATCTTTACAGTATCTCATTAAATGCTAAATATAATGATACCATTTCTAAATTACTAAAGAGGGTATTAAATCTGAAATAATTTCTGTTAAAGATTTGCCCATTGTGTTTGCTGCAGTAATTAAGCTGTTTATTTGTGTGGATAGGATGCTGAATCATGAATTTTGCAATATGCTACACCACCAAAACAATGATATCACTGTGAGTCAATTGTTTTGCTCCCACGTAATTACCATTACGGAGTGTTGATGCCAAGACCATTTCTAATCTGTCAGTAGTAGCACATTTATAGCTGCCATAAAGTAATCTTTTGTTTTTGAACTGGATGACTAAAGATAGCTCCACTGGACTTTTAGCAGTGCCAAATTGCCTCTCTCAAGAGTATTCTACTCACAATTGCTACATACAACCTTTTTTTGTTTTTGTTTCATTTGTGCAAAATATGTTTTGCTTTTGCAGGGTGTGCAAATAGAACCTGTCACGAGTATTGTGTCATGTGGCTGCAGAAAAGAATGGCTTTAGGAGTAAATATCCCTCCAGATGTGGCACAGACGGTCAAAACATGTTTTTGGACGGAGGACACAAAATTTCCTGGACCGCCTGTAGCTGCATGCTGTGCTCTGTCACCCCACCTGGAACATGACTTGACTGGGAGAGAAAAGGGGAATGGAGACATTAGGAAAAACATGCCATAGTAGCAGGGGACAAACAGACTCTATCTCCCCTCAACTCGGCTGCACACACAATGCCAAACAGGAAAGGGATCAGGGAAAGGGGTCAGCAACTTGTTCCCAGAGCTGAGACAATCTATAAACACCTGCATTGCCAGCCACTGGACACTGCACTCAATGAATGTGCTGAGTGTTTTTATTCCCCTCTGAGACTACAGCTATGTGACATCACACTTTAATGCTGCTGATAACTGGAAAGCACATGCTTTGGGTTTTGCCCCCATTGTGGCACAGTGTGTTCTCTAATGTATGTCAGTGGCGGCTTTGCAACAGAGAAAATATTTCTAAGAAAAGAAGGCACTTAATCACGCCGTTATGCAAACTAGCTATAGTATAATAAGTTCAGGTATTGATCTATGTGATACTCAAGGGCAATCAGGCTTTCGCTCTTCAAAGTGATCCAAACACCTTTGTAATTGGATGGCAAAGCGTTTGACTGCTGTAACGGATCAAATCATTATTGACATGTTTTATTGATTCCTAGCGGTGGGACCACAGCCCTGAGCTTTAGATTCTGATAAAGGGACTTCGGAGTATAGGATATGTGTATAAGAGGACAATAGACAATAGACATCAGACTTTATTAAAATGTCAGAAAACCGCACAGGCAGAGTTTATGTTCAGATTAATGGAGTTTGGTTGTGTTTACAAAGAACTGCGATAAGATAGATAATGCATTATCACACAGAACCACATCAACCGCTGGGGCCAAAGAAACTCAAGTGTCTTTATGCAGAAAAATAGTTTTGTGTAACCTGAGTGAAATAAGAAAACCCTGTTGTCAGCAGTGTATACTCCACTCTCCCAACAATATTAAGCCAGGATCCCCTCCCACCAACCCCCAGTGACTGCTTTTGCATGCACACAAGCACACACGCACACACACACACAAACCCACCCACACACACACACAAAGCGTTGCAGTAAACAGGTGGACCATGGAAGTCAGCACTTACAGGTTTAATTCCCCACAGGGCCTTCAGAACTCCAAAGCAAATCAATGAAACTGGCTCATATCATTGTTGTCATTTGAATAACAAAGACGCATTATATTACATTAAAAAATGTCTGAGGCGTGTTATTGTTACAGTGCTGTAGTCATCACAATGTGGACTTTCCCCATGTGTAGGCACTTTTTAAAAATGATTGAGAGTTATATCAGTGGCTCATTTGATCACATTAACTTCTAATTTCAGAAGAGCTGTTTGTGTTAAGTCTTCGAACCTGACCTAAGATAAAGTGGCGGTGCTACTCCATTACCAAAAAACAAAGTATTATTGCTCAGCAGTAAAAGGCCACGGCTAAGGCACAATAGCTGTCACACTGCCGTTAATTAGCCAGAAGCCAAGAGAGTAGGTCAGACTCTGATACCGGATGAAGTGTGTTATTCTTTTTCTCTATTGCTGCAGAGACAATCCTCCGAACTGCACTGTAAAAACAATGATTTACTAATTCAAAATAAAAACTCACAAGGAGCCCTATAAAAAAAAGAAGCATTTATGTCCTCTCCAAATAAAGCACAATAGCACAGTCAAAACATTATATACTGGGGTTTTTGGCATCACAGATTAACGAGCACCGTCAAGGCTTTTCATAGTGAGGGACCATTGAGTTAATGTGGTCTGTGTCTCTGTAGGGTTTTACTGCATTATATATTTCCTCAATCTCCACGGTGAGTTTGTGTTTACCATTTTAATGGCCTCGAACACTCATGTCCCACGTGGCAATACAACACACAATCCCCACATGAAATCTGCTCTGAACATAAGGTGTATGTGTGTGTCCATGCATGTGTGTGCTGTGCATACTGTATGAGTGTACATACAGCAAGTGTGTGTGCGATCCACTATCGCCACTCTGGTTGTGCACAGGATCCCGAAAAAAGCCCGGAGCCAGAATTTACTCCTGCGTTTTGAGACTGGAAGGATGCAGATACTCCTGCTAGTGAAACACACGCCTCTGGCAGAGCTGTTGTACAGTCTCACGCAAGTCTAGCTGTGGGTGTAAGCAATATTGTATGACTTATGTAACAACGTGCAACAGAAGAAACTGTGTGATTTAAACCCATGTACAAGGCTGTGTCCGTCGTAATGCTGGAGTGCATTCACTGTAGAGCAAAAAGCAATTATTCCTTTGTGATACTTGACAGTTGCAAAATGAAATATCGTCCTTGGAGGTGTCACATGAATAAAAAAAATAACACACAATATCAGCACAAACCATAAGTCCTCTGATAAATCAGTACCATTCATTGTGAGCAATGGCATGTGCATAAATTGTGTGCGCTTCAAAAAAAAAATGATACTCCCACGCACACATCACAAGAGGGAAAACAAATCTGGGGGCTTTCCAACTTCTTGTGACAATGCATGTTTCATCACAGATATGCACAGATATGAGGGAGCGATGTGATGTCTGTGTGCATGTGTGTGTGTTCACTCAGCCCGGCTGTCCTCGCTCTAGATGGAGGCACCAGAGTGTGTGGAAAACACAGATGGTTGTTGCTTTTGCTTCTTCCGCCAGACCTGTGTGACCTTTTTCACAAAGATAACAGGGCGGTCTCTTCCCCCCCGCCCCCCCCCCCCCCCCCCCGCCCAAAAAACAGCCAGACCTGGCAGCTCAGACAGAGGACTTCCTCCCTTCGAGCTGTCTGATAGAACAATATCAACAGCCAGCACCACAACCTCCCTTTTTGTGTCTCCACCAGGCTTTTGTTTTGGAATGATTAAGTCCTTTCAAATCAAGACGGGTCTGTGACAGACAGGAAATGAGAGATCTGCATTAAAATAAGAGATGTAGCCATCGCGACAATGTGAGACCCCTTCTAACTCGCTGGTCTTGTATATTTTGCACTCAGAGGAGACTCGCTGTTCATGTCATGCAACACATGTGCAGATCATAAGTTTGAGCAAATTTTGGAATTGAAATCAGAAAAAATTGATTTGTGTTCATCACAAGGAATTTGAATTTAAATTATACAAACTTGGCCTCCACTTTGGATCGTTGTGCTGTTTCAATTTCTACTCACACTCTGCATCTCTGTACTGTGTGCCTCAGCTTTCCGACAGCAAGTGTAGATGATGTAGATTACTTTAATACATTCCATGTGTTTTCAGACTCCAGAGATAAAATCATTAAATTATATATCTTAAAGGATAAGACTGCACATGAAAGAAAACTAATGAAAAGACTCAAACCAGATCTTTTAAAATGGGTCACATCTGTTTACTAAAGAAAACTCAATAAATTCCATTAACAGCTGGGCACTGTATATTTTTTAGAAAATGTTACTCCAACGGGAGTAATGAAGCATTT